GAATAATATGACTGTTTTTTATGTAGTTTCATTGGAGAACTTGTTGCAACTTCTTCACAAATATATGTTAGGGATGGAGCTAAAAATGAAGGGTCTCTGGATGTAATTATGATTCCCAAGATTGAACATGTAAATACAAGTGTCTAAATGCTATTTCTCTTTCAATTTGAATTAAACCAAACTCAATTAATTGAAATTAGTAATGTTACATCGAAAAAGCAGATGTACTTAATTTCTTTATTGTTCGTGGTCTCAATCATTAAGAATAAGAAGTAAGGAGTCAATAAAAAATAACCAGGAGTTGATTCTTCTTAGTTGACTCTTTCAATATGAAGTTCTTTACACTACAAGAAAAGTTCGATTTAGCTACGAAAAAATTCCGTAGCTAAAAGCTAAAATTCTGTAGCTAAACCTGAATAACTACAAAAGTTGCTACGGAATTTGTCAATGAGATTCCGTAGGTATATTTCTTGTAGCAAACTGTTTAGCTACATAATTATAGTTCCATAACATTTTTGCTATGAGGTACGTAGCAAATTCCGTAGCCATTTGTTGCGTAGCAAATTCCATAGCCGTTTGTTCCGTAGCAAATTCTGTAGCTGTTGTTCCGTAACAAATTCCGTAGCCGTTTATTCCGTAACAAATTCCGTATCCGTTTGTTCCGTAGCAAATTCCGTAGCCATTTGTTCCGTAACAAATTTCATAGTCATTTGTTCCGTAGCAAATTCTGTAGCTAATTTTTCAGTAACAAATTTCATAGCTATTTGTAATGTTTCAAATTTCATAGCCAGTTGTTCCATAGCAAAAACAGGTTCCAAAGCAAATTCATAACAATAAAAATATTCAAGAAAATCCAATTTCCATTTATAATATTCATTGAAATATATAAAAATGCAATAAAATATAATTTTAATAGTTACATAGATTTTTATAGATATATTACATAACTGAAAATCCTTTTACATAGTTCCCTAATCATCAAACCTAAATATTCATTACAAATATTGTCGCACAGTTCAAATTGGAACCACCACAAACACACAAACAGCCACAAATGTTGAACAAAAATGGCACAACCTGCAAAATCAAATTTATAAACAACTTGATTAACATTAAAATCTCTTGTATGAAATCCCATTATATCTCTAGTTTTTGATCAACTAGAGATTTAAAATCTGGAAATGAACAAAAAATAGAAAAAACAATCCAACTCTTCTATTTGATACACTATTACCATATACACAAGACACAAAATGAATCACCTTTTGAGCACCATCAAATTCAACGTTAGCATATTGCCAACAGGATTTGAAATAAAGTTAAAACAAAATGACAATACAATGATCCTAGACACCTAGATATTAACTTGTTTTTATAAAACAAAACTTGATTGTCTATTATAAAAGGTAATCTAATAAATAAAGATTCAGATATTTAAGTTTTTGTGTGCTTTCGTATCTGCAATATAATCACAGTTGATTGCAAAAAAACCAAATTTGCATAATGGAATTTTGTAATGGTAGTGGCAGGAGTTGTTTATGATCTTATTATTTATATTGCTACCTATTTCCAAGAAACCAATATAACAAAAATTATTAAATTGAATATTATAGTTCGACTTTCTTTTCTTTAATTTTTACCATTAGCTAATGGGATTGTGTGGTAACGAGTGATTACCTGTTAAGCTTTATAGAGATTTTTTCTAGCTCCCAACAAGCCATGACTACATCCATTGCATGGACACGAACATGGTTACAAAATAGTGTGCCTACACATGGAAAAAATGAACGGTTGAATATATGAAAAAAAACAATAAAAGATGAGATCAAAGATTATTGAAATGAAGTTATAAACAAAAGATTTCGAAAAGGTAAGTGAAATATGCATTTCCCCTATTCTTAGTGGCAAAAGCTTTGGAATAAGAGTATCATGATTAAAGTTCATTATTAATTACCCTTGCCATTTGGGGGCCAATTTGGCCCGTAAAGTAAAGAAAAAGTTTCAGGACATGTGTAATGTTAATCCTTAAAGCAACTTAACCCTTTTAAGTTTTACCCCTCGTAAACTTTACCCTTTCAGAAGAACTAATAATTATATCTTGTGAGATAATAACTATTCAAGAGGAAACATGTAAAGCATATTTCAATGGTTTGAATGATCCATTTATCGCATCATACAAGCTACAATGTCTTATATAAAGATAATACCAACGCATCAAAATGAACATAAAGCATGATGGAACATGAAATCATAATGATTTATGGATGATTAAGAGACTTCAAGATTGAAATTATATGTGAAAAAAATCTAGATCTAAAGTGTAATTGTTTAAAGAGAATTAAAGCCCAAGTTGTGTCATAGTGTTTAATGGAACATCCCTAATAGAAATAGATCATAATGGAAACAGATTATGAAAACACTGTCAGAACTTTATTATTATTAATTGTATTGGAATATAATTCAAAGTAACTAAGAAACAAGTTTTTTACCTTTGAGGTTCTTCCAATCAATCTCTGATATATGAAGGGAAGATTTCTAACAATCACAATCTGCCACTTTCCAATAAATCTTCCTCATTAAATATATGTCCATGGGCTTCCTATGTTGCAAGGGTAGTTTCGTCCCAAAATACATACCTATATGTAAGTGTGATATCATTAAAATTAATTACCCATAAATTAATTCAAATTATGCATATTAATATGCAGAGTAAATACCTTTTCAAGTGAGGCATTTGACACCCCAATCGGGTGATAAAGATCATCCCACTACCAAATGTGAAAGTAGAAACGATACTTTTTCATGTTTTTATGAAAGTTTTGTCTTCATTTGATGTTGTTAGTCCATATGTTGAAGTTCTTCAAGAGGTGGAATCTTTAAGCAACCCGATACCATATATGAAAGTTTGTCATAAAGTGAATAGAAATGTCCTTCCAATCTATTGCAAAGCTGAATAAAAGAAGGCATACTAAATCCTAATTACAATTTGTTCCCAAACCCTAACTCTATTCTTTCATTGCTAATTAGTCATAGCTAGTAATAGTATGCCATATCATTATATTCATATCATCTTTTCTAGCTTGTCAATATTGTTCTTCTTCTTCTTCTTTTTTTATTTTTTTATATTAATTCATGCGTTGAATTTTACCCATCATATTCATACTATCAATTTAAAAATGATATAATCCAGATTCATAGAGTTTGGGAGAGGCATATATGTTCATATTCATCTTAATGCTCTAGTCAGAATAACGTTACCACCATTAACTTTGAGGTCGTAATTTAGTAAACATGAACTAAAGAGTTTCACAATTTAATCATTGATTTTTACCATGGATTGTTCATATTACTAATCTAGAAAAAATTCCAGCCTTTTACCAATCCAGCCAAAGCGAGAAAGAACTTGTACTCATTAAATCAATCAAACTTTGCTCAAGGAACAAGACCTACACGTATATAATCATAATAAATGCAATTCAAACGCTAGAAGATATTATGAGTGACTTACATGGAGCATCTTAGATGATTTAAGTTCCCTCCGATTTCTTAGCCAGGATACTACTACATTAGCTTTTTTTTTTTTTCATGAATACCAAGTCCAGATTTGATCGTACTCGATATCCAGCCAAATTCCAAAGCCTTGAAAAGAAGTAGCACTGTTGCATCAATAAGCAAAACCGGCCATCATCGTGTTAGATGCTAACTCACTTTCCCTCAGAACTCCAAATTTCTTGCTTTCTTCGTGGTCGGGATTGCATCTTAACGCCGAATCGGGAAGGTCGTGCAACGAATCAGTACACTGTTGTTGAACAATTATGCCTAATTACACCGTCGGAGATTTGTGTAATGTCGGTAGTAGTCGACGGCATCAGAACTTTGTTGAAACTATGGGTGATTTTATTCTAGCCATCTAACTTGGGGAACCGTGAAAAGATTTGGATCTAACAAAAAGGAAAACATGCACTTATAACCCTTGTCCTTTTGAAATTCGCAAAGCCTATTCCTATTAAAAATAATATTATAACAAAATAATGATAATAAGAATAAATAAAAAACTTATAAAAATACGTAAAGAGATTTATTAATCATAATTAAATTATAATTATAAATCAAAACACGATTAAAATCAATAATATATTTTTGTTGGTAAAATATTTTTCTGTTTTTTACTACGGAAGCATATTCCGTAGCTAGTTGACTACGGAATATTCCGTAGCCACATAGCTACGGATTCAAATTTTGTAGCTATTTTCCAAATTCAAAAACAACTTAGATTCACAAATAACAACAATTAACATTTCCGTTACAAGTTCCATTGTAGATTAGCTATAGATTTTTAGTGTGTAGCAAATTTTTGTCACAAAATATCAACAAATTTCTATTGTGTTGCCAACTAGTTACGGATTTTTTATTTTGTAACCGATTTGTATAGCCAACTAACTACGAAAATAGATTATGTAACAAGTTCTATAGCAAACTACCTACAACCAACAACCTTGTAGTATATTACGTAGTAAAATAGCTACAAATTTTAATTTTGTAGCAACAATTCGAGATTTAGCTACAGAAATACAACTCCATAGCCATTTTCGTCGAAAAATAGCTACGGTCATCCATTCTGTAGCGTATTCTGTAGTAAAATATCTACAAATTTTGATTGCGTAGTAACATTTTGTAATTATTTTTAATTTAGCTACGGAATGTAACTCCGTAGCCATTTCCATAGCAAAATAACTATGAAAAACCATTTTGTAGCACATTCCGTAATATAATAGCTACAAATTTTGATTTTGTAGCAACTTTCCGTAGCTATTTAGGATTTTTCTTGTAGTGTTTTAAAGCAAAATTACTTTATGATATTATGGTAAAGAATGAAGAACCATTATGTTGTTTCTAACAACACCGATATATCATGAATGAAGAACAAGTTGTTTACTTTTGCTTTTTATTATTACTGGGATAAAGGATAGGTATATTGGACTCAAAGAGAATTTGTGCACATGCATCACCCATCTATTTTCTCTAATCAACAGTGGGAGGTATATTGGACTCAAAGAGAATTTGTGCACATGCATCACCCATCACGACATCCTTCTCAGATTTAGCTAGATTTTCCAATGTTTACGCTTGATATTTGTTTTGTAGTACTTTGTAGGTGGGTTTGAGTTACTTACTCGTCTTTCAATGGATGTTATATATTGTGTAATAGCCCTTAGTGTGGCATTGACAAGAAATGAGAAACCATCTGACACTTTAGAGAACACTAAAAAATTATGCAAACCTCCACAAATATTAGTAGTAGCTATTGGTCGTCATAGAAAAGCAAAGCCAATTAGTCTAGTTTCTGAATTCACAAGGGATGTAGAAAAAAGCTTGTTGCTATGGAATCTTCTTAATCAGCTCATTCCACTTGTGCAGAGACTCCCTGCAGTATGTTCTCGACTTTTTTTTTTTTTTCACTTATTTTCCTATAGTGGCTTTAAATTTTTGGTTCGCTTAGAACCTTAAAACTGGGTTCGTTCTTGAGGCACAACATAATAAAAAAAACAACAGACATTATACATATTAATTAACAGAATCAGAATCAAAGATCAAATTTAGAGTTACCTTTTGAGAGTGGGTTGAAGAATAAGCGAATGAAGCAATGGCGGCTGAATAAGCGTTGTCCAACGGCTGAAGAAGCAGCGCCGTAGGTTGTGGGTCGTGCGTGGTTTGGAGTTTCCAAACGTGGGATTTTCCTCTTGTACGTAATTAAATACCTAGAAATTAAATGGAAGTATTATATTCGTCCATAAACTCATTTTTCGTGCATGGATTAAATTTAAAAGTATCATGGATAAATCAGGATTCATAAATCATAATTCGTAGTCCAGGCCCAAAGGCTTTATTATTTTTAATTAAAACATCCTGATTTTTCCAAGTCCAAATAGCATTTTAAATAAAGTTCTTAAGAATAAAATATTTACTTGCTACGTTACCTTTTACATAAACAGAATAAATAGTTTATTATCCATTTACCATATTAACCCGTCTTATAAAAGTCGCTTCCTAACAATATTTAATTCATCCATTTTGGAGATTAAAGTGTAGTATATAGGCGGTGTTTCTAATTGCTTAGTAAATGTGTTTATCAGCTTATTTCTATATAACACCGGTAATAAGTATATAGTAGTGTTTAAGCTGCAAAAAAAAAAAAAAAAAGGTTAATTTCGGTATGGTACATATATATGAGATAAGCTTTTTTTTATTTATTTATTTATTTAACTTATTAGAAACTCCTTGTTAAAAATGAAAACTAAATTACAATTTTATCCTTAATTTAAAGAAACAGTAGTATATAAGGTGTATTTATGGTCATTTTACGTTACCTTTGAAATATAACCTAATAATTTCTTTTTTTTTTTTTTTACAAAAAGCATAAGCTATTTTGAATAAACAATCCCAAACACCCCATAATATAATTATTCAACCATGTAAATTATAAGTGAGATAATTCATTTTTATAAACGGTATTGTATTCGATCAAAATCATCTAAAATGATATATATATATATATATATATATATATATATATATATATATATATATATATATATATATATATATAAAATAAGACGTATTTTAACATGCTATGGTCATAAATAAGCTCAAAATTCGCATGAAAACAATAATAGCTATATACTTTAATTTTTATCTAAAAATAACAACATACTTTGAAACACACAAATATTATTGGAAAAAAAAATTAATGGATAATCTAAACACACATACATAATAGTCATACATAAACAATGGCTATAAATATAAAGGTTTAGGATTGAATGTGTATATTGATTGATCTTCCATTGACAAGGAGATAAACCTTTTATCTGATGATTAAAAATATAAAGAGCATATTACACAAATGATCCCTACGGTTAAGGTAATTTACGTGTTTGATCTCTAACTTATTTTTTTGAATCGGAAGGTCCCTACTGTTTAACTTATGTAAGACATGGACCAAACGCGTAACAAAAACAAATAGTAGGGACCAAACGTGTAACAAAAACAAACAGTAGGGACTTTCCAAGTTAAAAAAAATAAGTTAGGGATCAAACACGTTAATTACCCCAACCCATAGGGACCATTCGTGTAATATACTCAAATATAAATATATAAACTTTGAGGTAAAACCTTGAAACATAAACATGGAAGATCAAAAACTAATAACTCGAACTACAAAAACACTTATTAGTCTCATTCTTCTAAGTAAAAAAATTACAAAAACAACAAAATCTCTCACTCTCTATCACTCAACCTCTGTTCCTTTAGCAACCATGGCAGATTTGCCACCATATTTTGAGAAAACACCAGAAAGCAAAGCCTTCTCCTTCATCTTCAACCTGTTTGCAGATCCAGGAATATTCTGTTTTGTTACATTCTCTACTTTCTTTTTAACTGTCTTCTTCTTCTTCTTCTTCCCCTTTTCTCCAACTTTCTTCAATGGCTCTGAAACCATCTCCTTTTCTTTTTCTTGAATCACGTTATCAAATTTCACAAATTCATCTTCATTTTCATCAATGTTCTTGAACGTATCAAAAGCAGCATCCTCCACGTATGAATCCAATAGCGTTTCAGTCACAGGATTTGAAGAGGGGAGTAGAGCACTGGGATTTGTAATTGGAAGAGAGTTTTTTGTTCCATGAACAGGTGCTTTAATGGAAGGTGGATTTGGAGAGGTTGATTTCATTATCTCGCATCTGATTTGCTTCTCAACCTTCCCAAAAGTAATGGGCTCAGTTGAAATAATGTCCACAAATCTGTCAAAAGTCGAAACACATAATTTAGGATTCAAAAGTTTGACATTTGAGGTCAAAATTCTTTGATTTTATTGTAAGTAAAAGTACCTATTGGCCTCTTTCTCTGACTTGAAATCAACAAAAGCAAAGCCTTTGCAAACAGGTTCTCTGGTCTTTTCGTTCCCCAAAACAGCTGGAATTATGTTTATGATTCCAGAAAACGGTTTAAAAGCTGCTTGTAAATCTCTATGAATGTTCTTTTTCTTTGGAAGGTTAATCAATCGCACACGGGTTCCATTTGGAATGGCTTCAGGGACTGAAAAAGAAGATAACAAAATCAAGCTTGAATATAAAAATTCAATCTTTTTGACAAAATGTGAATTAAAGTCAAAGGCATATCCTGCAATGAAGGGATTATGTTTTTATGCAATTATGGGGTTTGAGGAAGAGGAGATTGACGAGCAAGTGAGAATATAATAACCTTTCTGTTTCAGAAGCTTTTCTTTTTTAGAATTAGGGTTTCCATCTGCGGGGTTTTTCTTGAGGTTAGTGACATTTGCAAGCTGAGCAACCCTACTCTGCTCCAATTCTTCAAGTAATTTATCTTCAACGCTCGTATCGTATTCTTTCCCTTCACCAAACCCTTGTGGTTTATTCCGGGTCCATTGCCTCATGTTCTTCAACGGAACAAAAATCTCTTCGTCTTCGTCTTCGACTTCATCTTCGTCGTCTTCTTCGAATTCCTCATCAAATTCATCTTCGAAATCGGAATTCTCCGTTTCAGGAATGCTAGTTTCGACTTTCATTGAGGTTTTTGAGGCAAAAACAGGAAATCCTGATGATAATTTGGCATGAAACGAGAGTAACTTGTGTTTGGGAAGTTGAATTGAGAAGAAAGAATGGTGGGTTTTGTTGGAATGAAGAAGAAGGGAAGTGGGTGAGATGGGGATTTGGAACAGAGTATTCGGTTTTAAGAGTACTCCATTGTTCATTGTTGGTAGATGAATTTGAGAAGATGAGCTGCGAGGGATTCAATTATCAAACGGATTTTGCAGGGTCTGCGTAGTTTTGGATATACACACACTCACACAACTACACAACGATGCTCTCCTTTCTGCAAACAAGGGATTGATATTTGCGGTTTTGCAAAGGAAAATTGGTATAAAACCATTTTAACTTTTCACTATTTCAAAAAATAATCTTCTTGAGGTTGGAGGAGGGCGTTAGATAAAAAATAAAAAAATAAATAAAAAAAAACTTTGAGAACTTACCGAATTACATTTTTGAAGTGTTTGGATATTCTCAAACACCCTCTTTTAAGGGTGTTTGGATAGAAAAAAAAAAAAATTGATTTTAAAAATTTATTTATTGGTTATATCTAAGTTAAATTATTAAAATAAGAATCCTTAAAAAGCAGTTTATTGTGATAAGTTGATTTTAATAAGCAGGAAATGTTTATTACTTATCGTTTATTTTAAAGGATTTAAAAATTTACCGAATTACCCTTTAAAAAAAGATACATAAACATATAAACCCTTTCTCGATCAATTAACTTCACAATTCTTCTGCCGTTCGCTATTACTTCTCGACGTGCCATCGACCTTGGAAGCTATCAACGACCCGAAAGTCATTGACGATCACTTTTGCGTTTTCTTTATTTCTTTCCGTTTTGTGTACATCTTTTTTTTTTGTCATGCATAAATCAATGAGGAAGCCACCGATGCTTCTTTTTTTCTTCATCATTGATTGTTGTTGTTATTTGTTGCTATTGATGCTAGTGCTTTTTGTTGGCATTTAAAAATTTATCTGCGTGTTTCTTTTTCTTTTCCTTCTACCTGTTTGTTGCTACAGAAAAACTGCCCCTGTGATGTTTTTTTTTCCTTCATTGTTGATTCTTGTTGTTATTTGCTCCTATTGATGGTAGTGATTCTTGTTTGCATTTACAAATTCCTCTGCGTGTTTTGATTCATTAGGGTGAAAATTCAGAATTTTCTTCATTCATTACCATGATTTAACATAGGTAATGGACATTATTAATGTTCAAGATGTGGGTATTAGTGCACCCAAATTGAAAGTTACAAATAGAATCAATTGGGATCCTCATACAGTCAAGATGTTTCTTGAGGAATGCATGAACGGGATAAAAAACGGGAATAGATCGGGTACTTATTTCAATAAGACTGCATGCCAAAATATATGTAAGAGGCTTTTGGAACGAACAGGTAAAGATTTGGACAGAAATCAAATGAAAAACAAATGGGACATTACGTAGAATGAGTTCGAATATTATGACCATTTAACAATACTATAAATGGGAATTTCAATTGATTCCGTAAGAAACATAATCACAGCATCAAAGGAATGGTGGGATGAGAAAATACAGGTAATAATTATAAATTTTATCTAGCAATTTATTATTTGTGTTGTGTTTTTTGTGACATTCTCATTTTGTACATATAGGAAGATAAATAGTATGCTAAGTATAAGGATAAGAATTTGGAGGTATATCAGACATATTAAGAGGCTTTATTTCAGGATACTGTAGCTGTTGGAGACAAGGCTAAGGTACCTTGCGAATTTTATGACAGTAGCACTCTGGATGATGTACAGTTTGTGGATATTACGGATGGAAAAGATGCTACTGACGAAGTCCTCTTATTTGATGATGTTGATCCTTTTCTCACATACGATAGTTCTAGTAAGAAAAGGAGGGTAAAGAAGTTAACTCCCAGGCGTGACAACAAAAGAAAATTTAAAGGAAAAAGTGTTGTAAGCTCGTGATATAAAGAGAAACTAGCCACTGTTTTTGATGTTTTATTAACAAGGAGCACTCACCCCTCAAGACAAACCACACACTCACCAACGAAAGAAGATTGCATGGCAATTGCCTACTTTCCCGGGTTTTGAAGAAGGCTTAATAGGATATTTGGAAGAGTTGGAGGTCTTTTTAAAGAAGCCAGCTCGTCAGAATTTTATGGTTCCAAAGACTAATGAAACAAAGATGGAGTTTCTCAAGAGGCTTATAGAGAAAAAGAAGTAGTTGAAGACACACTCTACTTTTATGTCATGTGTTAGTTTCATGTTTGTTTTGTGGTCAATTTTTCTCTTGCCCCATGATTTTGCTCTTGTTTCCTTTTCCATGATTTTATTTATTTGGTTGACTTTAAACGGTTGTCACGTGGTAGAGTTATTCTTTTATCCATTACATTGACTTTAAACAGTTGTTTTGTGTTTGTTTTAATGCAATTCCGTTTCACGCTTGTTTTGTGGTCAATTTTGTTGGATAAGGTGTCTAAGTTCATAACTATTTTTGGTATGTATTTGACCCGACCCGACATTGTCCATTTGGGTTGCATGGCACTATGCATTGGATAAACTAAATGAGAGACATAACACTTATGGTTTATTAATATATTATAAGTTCTAATATATTAATAATATTATTTAATTAGTTTGATCAAGAATTAATTTAGAATTAATTAAGTGATCAAAATATAACTAAATAAATATATGGGTTGATTATGTAAATCATCCATAACTTATATAGTGGGCTAAGAGGCTCCATGGATTATCAAGTTGGGTTCCACCCATAGGATGCTCCATGGAGTTAATCCATGGATCATGGAAATGAAGAGTCATGTTACATTAGGGTTTACCTAATGCAACACACTATATAAACCATGTGACATCTCCAAAAATGGGCTACACATGCATACTTGAGAGCTAGCGCCGATTTTTGAGTGTTATACTTTCTCTCCAAGTTTACTCCATAGCATTTGGTGTTGTGTGAAGCATTTGAGGCACTACACTTGGGGTGATAGGCTCACAAGGTTTCAAGGAATCAAAATCAACAAGGCATGTTATTCTATCTATCATTTAAGTTAATATGTTCCCCATGTATGCTAGATAGGATCATGAACCTTGGAAATCAACTTTGCATGAATCTTAAACAAACATAGATCCAAGGTTTATTAGGGTTGCATGTACACTTAGGAAGTGTTAGAATGATCAAAACCCATCAGTGGTATCAGAGCCTATGCTTTTTTGTTTGTTATTTGTGCAAAAATGTGTTAAAAATCAAAACCGCTTGCTGTCTGAGCAGTGGACTCGCCGCGTCCATGGGGGGGAGGGGGGACTCGACGAATCCAAGTGAAAATTCATCCTACTCATCGAGTAGGTTCATGCACTCGACGAGTAGGAGGCCATAACAACAAATTTTCGACTTTTGTTGCTGGAAATGAACTAAAAACATTACCCTAAACTGTTTTGGTGCTTTAAAACTTGTTTTAGATGGTGTAATGTTTATGCTAATCCATTTACAATGGCAATTATAAAAAAAAATTACAAGTTTTATGAGTAATTTATGATTATTGAAATGTTCATATTCATGTTCTTGAACTTATGAAGATTAGATGATCATAGGAATTGCTTGTAACCTACTTGGTAGTTTAATTCATGATCACTATGTGTTCTAATGGATTCCATAACTTGTCCTCAAGTTATGGAAAACCAAAGGTCACACTTTAATAAAAACCATTAAAAGAACACAAGGGTTATAAAAATGAAGAGTCTTCATTTTTATACTCAGTTAATTCATAAGTTATAAGAAATGAAAAGTTTTGAAAGTTTACAAAACTTGCCCTAAAGTTTTGGAATAAGTAAAGTCATGATTAAAACTTTAGTTCCATCCCTTAGAATTTTAAAAGTTAAAATTCAACCCTTATACTTTATAATATTATAAGTTAATTATATATATATATATATATATATATATATATATATATATATATATATATATATATATATATATATAATATCAAGTCGTCTTACCGTTAGTACGCCTCATTCACGAAGCCGGTCTATAAGGGGGGTATACGGTTGTTGCCTATAAAATGTCAACTTAATGGGTGTCCACTCTCACCCACCGCTTCCTTGATCGGTGGATGGTCATTAGCCGAACGGGTAAGACAAGGACTTATAAATTCTCATTAAAAGTATAATGATAATTATAAAGTAACTAAATATTTTAATTAAATTCCCGATCTTAGTTACTTTAGGAAAATGTGAATAAGGTGCTAATCCATGAAATTACATTTTACACTTTGTTTAAGTCGTTAGTGGAGCGTGTGTGGTTAACCGGCACACTAACTTGGACTTAACAAGGTAGGTAAAGGGTGAATTAAAGTTTATTATAGGTCGGTGGAGCGCGTGTGGTTAACCGGCACATCTATTGAGTAATAAACATTGAGGGTACCAAGTGATTTTCATGGTTACTTCACACCTCGTTTTGTGATCCTCGGTATCCCAGTCACAAAACTTGGAGGGCGCACTCGAGATTGAAACATGTCTTTGAAAAGTTCATTGAATCTCAAAAGAATCTAGGAATTTCTAAGAACCAAATTAAAAACTTAATATATTAATATTTTGTTTTTGGTGAAAATTGGTGAATCGTCATTCACCTACCTTTCAAATGTGTTATTACTTAGATTACCACATACCTCTTCTAAGTATAATATATTGTGATCGGGTCCTAGCCTTAATAATACATTAACATTTCTCTTTTGAAATATCAATATGAAATTAAAAAAAATCCAAGATAATTGTGCATAAATAATAAGGCATTGGCTTTGTTAATAAAGGTGAGAAAAAAGCTAGATAAAAGCTTTTGGTTGCACAATATCTAGTAGAAGAAAGAGATTTAGATAGGTTAAAAAATGATCAAACAATTATTAGCAAAGAGAATGGGTTGCTTTTGAAATAATAAATATTTTATGTAACAAAACCAAAAGACTTTATGAACAAATGACAAAATTATTTCATACTGGTGCTATCTTTGAACAACAAATTTTTTTTTTATCATATCTTGAGATCAAACTAGATGTTGTTTATGATATTACATATAGTTGTGAAAGTGTTATATCTTCTAATTCAATTCCTAATTTGTCATATACTTATGGTATTGTCCTTTCGAAAAGAATTTAGATTCGCAAAACACTCACAAATTATGAACCACACTTTTAATATTTTTTAACATAATTTGATCGCTTCAAGTTCGAAAAGCGACCGTGATGATTTGAGTGATAATTTTAGTAAAAGTGAAGAAACTTGTGAAGTTCATCGTGTTGGTTTTGTTTTGTTTAAACTTTAAAGCAAATTATGAAAACTACAACATTAAAATTGAAGTATTTTAAAAAAAAGGTTTGGAATCATTAGATAACCATATCTTGGAAAATTCTATTGAATATAATAAAATTTGGAAACAAATGAAGATAAATCTTTAAAAGTCAAAGTTACTGTTTTTCGAGGTCTAACTAATCGTCAAAATCAAGTTTTTGTTAAACAAGGATGTTATGAACAAGCAGATCATGAAGTGATTAATATGGGTAAAAAGAACAATAAGATATTAAAGACGAAACATTTTTGGTCTACTCCATATTATGATCACGGAAAATTTTATTATAAGAAAATAATTTGGGTAGTAAAGAGTAACAATGTAAAACGTTCAAAACCAATCATACACAATTTGAATCATTCTGTTCGATATACCAAAATCAACAAGAAACTAGATATGAGATCTAGGTCTCGAAAGAAGTCAAGAGAAAAAACAGAACATAACAAGAGAAATTCATTTTTTTCCACTGTTAGTATGCAACCTCCTTTCTCTCAACCTCAACCTACAGATCCTACATGGCATTCAACTTTGTCCTAGACCTAACCACCAACACAATATCATGAACAAAAAAACACACATTAAGGCACATTATTTGGATAAAGTGAAACATCTCATTCAAGATCATGTTAAAGATATCCGGACCTAAGGTTGACCCTTGATGTAGCCCATTGCCACATGGAACAACTTTGTGTCTCCAATTGGGGTACAGATTCAAGATGCATATCAGCAATACATATCATGAATAACCGAGACATATCTCCCCGAGACCCTTCTATATTCCAACGTTCTACAAATCGTCTCACGTGGTACACTATCATATGCCTTTTTCTGTGTTGATGAACACCATATGTAGATCCTTATTTATTTATTTATATTTCTTCATAAGACGTCTGAGTATATGTATCATCTCAATTGTCGACCTTCTTAACATGAAACCAACTTGATTTTCTGAAACGGTCTTAACACCACACAACAACTTGACCTCAAGGTCTCTCCCATAATTTCATGGCATGGCCTAAAGGTCTCTCTCGCGTAACATCATTGTATGGGTAAGTACCCTGAGATATGGAGTAATAATTTGTAATTCAACCGAAGAACAAGGCATACAATGCCAAAAATAGAACACAAAGGGATCTAAATGTAAATATTTTAAAACCGGTTGTAAAGTTAACTCGGACATCGACCCGAACTATCTAACAAATTCCGCACCATGCTTTCTGCCAGTTTGCTGACTTCCCGGTTTTCGTCTATACCCTCCGACGATCTCTAATCCCTTCCCCAAATTCAACCACGATCTATACAAATCAAAACCCTAGCCCCCAAAGAATCAAATCACTAAATTCTCTTAGTTGAACCACTCATTAATACGATTACAAGGATGGAACATCAGTCGTTCCACAATCTCTTCGAACGTCGCCCCTTCATCAAGTCCAAAGCTCCTGCTGTTAAGTGGTTCAAAGAATGGTAAGCCTAAAAACCCTCTCAATTGTGTTCATATATTGATTTACAACGTTTATGAATGCAACAGTATGTGATTGTTTGTTATTAAGCAAGCCCCAATTGATAATATTATGTGGAATTTAAAAGGGAGAATCTGGATAGGTTTAGTGACTAGATATGAAATTCGCACTAGATAACTTCTGTTTCGCATTGGCACAGCGTACATACATTATCCTCTCTCAAATTTTGTATTTATGCAACTATTAGCATCAGTAATCCTGATTTTCATTCTCTCTTACAATTGAACGAGTTCTAGGATGTCGTATTGATTGATGTTAAAATCCTTTGATTGTTTTGGATTTACATCATCTTTTTTCAGTCATCTCCTACCTCCAGACTAACCTGATTATCATTCATCCAGGGTACCA